TTCAATCATTGTTTGCAAAGAGGAGAGTTTTTTTAATGGCCGTGTGGAATGAAGTTAAAAAAATCTCAGAATAAACTGTATTTTGCTGACTCCAACCCTTGAAGATTACATTTTTTCTTCTGAGCCTCTATATGTTGGACCAACACAAAATTAGCGTAAACTTTGAAACAAAATGAAAAATCTGAAAGGGGTGGTATGCATACAGTGTATATTCAGCCTGCTACAGTTATGACTGCTTGATCATCATTGCCAAACAGCTCATGCTCAATCAAATTAAATAAAGACAATCTCCGTAGTCTTGCCAAGTGTTCCCAATTAGATTAAAGTGTGAACTTTTATTGGGACAATAATATGATTCAGCTCTAGCTTTGTGTTTAGGTTTGTTGTTCTGCTGGAAGTTTATCCTCAAGTTCATAATCTCTATAAGATTTTCTTTTGGGATTTTCATGTATTTTTCTTCACCCTCCCTCCCCCCATCCCAACCAACTTTCTTTTTCATACTGAAGAAATTTTTTAATATCTCAGGTCAGATTTGTGCAGAACTAATTCTCCCTCCCGAGCGTACAAATCCCTGCAGCACCTTAAGTTGTCTTTGTAGTTGGACAGCTGAGTCTTCATTGCAGTTCTGAAACACTGCAATCAACACAATAGATTGAAAAGTGCTCTATAAAGTGTGCAAAACTTGAGATGTTATTTAAAAATTAAACAGGGATTTTAAACATCCACAAATTCGTCCTTGACTTGTCAAAATTGGTTGTTTGTCTAAACAATGCCATTTATTCACAAGATGTTTAAAACAAATCATGACAAATATATTTTTACTGGGACTATATATCACAAGCCTACATCACAATGACTTATTAGGTATCTTCCTATGGTATGTGGATAACACCAGATTTTATTTAAAGGTATTAGATTAAGATGCAACTACTATGAGCATTGGTTTTACATGCCACAAATACTAAACCCTTGCAGCTCCAGTGTCTTTGGATTTTGTACTATTTTATACATACAGTATGTTATTAACTATCAATTAAGATAAAAGTCCAGGAAGACAGTAATGCAAATTATATATATATAATAAAACAGACAATTTAATAATCTGGGATTTTAATTTTCCTACCCTCTCATTTTAGCAAAAATAAATACAATTTCTTGCAGCAAGGAGGCGGACTTAACAAGAAATATATTGTCTTTTAAAATCTGATCCAGACCTTTTCATGCAGATTTTATGACCAGTTCTTTTATTAGATTTTACTAGTTCCCCATTATGTGCTTACTTTGTCACTTTACTTTTTGTTCTTGAAGCTGAACTTTTTTTTCAAGCAATAAAACCCATTTATGCAGTTAACATATGAACATTATAGATTACTTACCCTCTTCTGCCTCATTTATTTTGATATGTTAAAATGTCACGACAACTGCTTAGTTGGAACTGTCATCTCAGCAAATGGCTCATTAGAGGTCTCAACTCACTGAATGTGCTTCAAGCTATGCTGTTGCTCCTGGGAGTGTCTGACAGAGAGGATATCTAATTGAAAAAAAGCTAAGATAACCTCATAATCTTGAATGATACTTCATCATACATTCAGTTATACCAGTTCATATAATTCATTTATATGGGAATACCTGAATCTTTATTTTTCTAATTTATAGAATTGTGCTGCATTAGGTGGCTGCACTTTGGAGAAGCGTTGCAAGCTTGACTCTGTTATTCTTTTTGTATGAGAACTTTAGTTTCTCTGTTTTTGGATCAGAATTTTTTTTTTCTGATGATGTTTGCTTCTGGTCTCAAATTCCATGAAACCAGAAGGATTTTTACTGATATTTTTTCCTTTTTGGATACTTATTATAATGCAACCATTGCAAGTAGCTTTTTTACACCAGGGAGCAGCTATTTAACATAGATAAAGCTGAAATAATTCATCAACTACTTCCTCAAGTACCAGCTAAGTTGAAAACGAGGCACTCGTGATGTAGAGCAGCAGCAAGGAGATGAGAAAGGAAAAGGAAATTTAAGCTACCTCATGTATCAATCATCATGGGCAATGTAAGATCTTTAAGAAACAAGATAGAAGAACTCCAAGCGTTAACAAGGACCCAGACAGAAAATTTAGCAATGAGCATTATGTGTTTTACTGAAATGTGGCTGCAGGATCATATCTCTAACTCCAGCGTCTCTTTGCCAGGCCTTCTGACCAAACCAGCAGACAGAAGTTTAAAGAGGACTGGATATGGTAATTCAAAGGAGGTGGGTTGGCAATGCTTGTGAACAACAGATGGTGTCATCCAGGACATGGATTTCGGCCATATTATTTGCCTAGATAGTTTAACAGTGTTCTTTTATAAACCATTTACATTCCACCTTCTGCCGTTGCTAACACAGCATGTAATGTAATCAGTTCTGCTGGTGCTAAGCTCTAGACCCAACAGCCAAATGCATTTGTGGCAATAATTGGTGATTATAATCACAGCTCACTCTCTGCTACAACGTTCCAACAGTTTGTTATCTACTATACCAGAGAAAACAAAACTTTGGACTTTTTATGCAAATGTCAAGGACTCCTACATCTCTAAAGTAAGACCTCCACTTGGAAATTCACAATTTTATTTTTCTAAGATACAGGCCACTTTATAAGACATAACCGACATTAAAAAAACTGTAAGGAGATGGTTAAAGGAAGCTGAAGAAGCCCTGCAAGGTTGTTTTGAGGCCGCCACATGGAGAGGACATCAGTGCAATAACTGTGTGACTGTGAACAGTTGAATGCTTGTCAAATAATAATCCATGTGAATAAACAATTGATCTTAAGCAACCCCTCAACAAGAAAGAAGGGATTTAATGCATTAGCACAATAAGGTCAAGATAATAGAAAGGAGGCATACAGGTACAGGCTGGAAAGCAAGCCCCTGCAAAAAAAGAATTAGAGACGTATGGTCAGGGATGATGAAGATCACAGGATTCAAGCTGAAGGATAATCAGATGCATGGACACCTGGACAGAGCAAATAAACTAAACACATTCTTCAACAGTTTTAGTTCAGGACCAAGCTCAGCATCCTGCTCTTGTGCCCATGGTCACATAGACATTCTGCCCTCCTCTGCCATTGACTCTCCTGCTTCTATGAGCAGCTTCATATTGTTGTCTCCTGCTTCATATTGTTGTCAGCCAAACCAGAAGATGGTGCTATTCCCTCCGCTTTTTAACTGTCAGTCTCTAAAATTCAAGTGAAGAGGTAACTGAAGAGACTAATTCATAAGTCACCAGGTTCTGATGGTGTCCGCCCCAGAGTCCTGAAGGCCTGTGCAGAGTAGCTATGTGGTATTTTACGAAACATCCAACCTAATCCTGACCCAAGAGGCAGTTCCATTGATGTGGAAGACCTCCTGCTTGTTCTGGTGCCAAAGAAGACTCAGCGAACAGACCTCAGTGACTATAGACCCGTACCTCACACCATGAAGGTCCTAGAGAGACTTCTGTTTATTTGCCTCAGCGAACAAGCAGCTATCAGCAGTGGGAGATGAAGTACTCAAAATCAGTACTTACGGTAAGTAAAAGTATTAAAATTCATGGTCAAATCTTACTCAACTACACGTAAAAGTTGCTCGGTCAAACACCTACTCAAGTTAAAGTATCGAAGTACTCACTTCTACAAGAAGGGACAGAGCAGGTTGTACTTCTAGAGGAAGCTTAGGTCCTTGGGCGTTTGCAACAATATGCTATATATCTTCTGTAAGCCTTCTTTAAGTCTGTTGTGTAGCGCAATCTCTTCCTCCGTTATCTGCTGGGGTAACAGCATCAGAGCAAATGACTTAAAAAGATCAACAAGTTAATAAAGAAGGCCGGCTAGGAACTCCTCTAGAACCTCTGGAAATTATTTCACAAACGAGAATTCTTCATAAAGTGAAAAAGTTTATAACTGTGAGCATTCTCTTCAGAATATTTTTAAACAACAGAGTGTCTTAAGTCAGAGGTTTCTTCAAATCCGGTGCAAGACATACCGCTACAGAAGATCCTTCCTTCCTACAGCTAATACACCTACAACTCGAAGTAAAATACAGAAAAAAAAACCCTATGAGGTAGTGAATCATTTAATTTCCCTTTGGAAATAATAGGATTTTTATTATTGAACTGAATTTTACAAGCAATTATCATATTGGTCTGCTTGTGTCTTCTTGTGTAAACATCATCTACGGGCTTTAAAAAGCAACAAGCATCTATCTAATATTAAAAAAATATTTTTTTATGCAAAGAAAACCTATTTCCCTGTTAAAACAGTTTTTAAATTGGCTAAAATTATTACAAACATCCTCTTTCTGTTGTCAGAGTTGGAAACTAATATTATTCTAGCAAACATAGGTATGCCGGGGAGTTTATTGTCCATTAAAGGCTGTAAACTTTCAAAGTTCTTTATCTGACACATGCCAAAATCACTACCCCTCACAATTTTTACACACATAACCCTTTTGCTTAAGCCAGTTTTCTGTAAGACAACATAAATCAACCACCATGTTTTATCATTTGAATATGAATTTTATGCTGCTCTAATGTGGATTCGTGCTTTTCTGAAATGATAAATATAACAAAATAGAAAAAACAAAAAACATGACACCATGTAATTCCAGCCTTCACCGTAACTTAAAATAGGAACTCCTTCTGTAAAGGCTGTAAGTATTTTATTATGAAACCAAAAGAGCTTTGCATTGAGCATAGTATAATAGCCATTTTTGTCAGTAAGACTGCTCAGTTAGACTTTAAATCAATACTGTACCTGGAACAGATTTAAATAAATAGATATATTTTGAGCCAAACTGGCCCTGCCAAAATTTATATTCACAGAATACAGTCTGCAGAGCATGTCAAGAGAAGCCACTCAGCTTTTGCTTGGGGATGCGTGCAGGGCATAAGATTGAGCAATGCAGCTATTTCCGGACAGTAGATACCACCTTCAGCTTTTTAGGCTTCCTTGATCCATAAGTGTTCTGCTCCCCCTTTCTGAAGTGGAAAGTAACGATTACATTTTATCTGAGTCAGTGTTGTCCTCCTGGATTTGAAGTCCACATAGACTGAGCTTACTCCCAGAACCTCAGGGTGGAAGCAGATGGACCATTATTAACATGAGAATCCAGCCATATCATGCCAAGGGAATGGAGATGGCGCCGTTTGCTCGACTCCGACTTCGAGTCTGGCCACTGGACTCCGTCAGTTCCTCTCCGTGTTCCTCTGACTTCTTATCAGCAATGTTGGCCAGGAATCGAAGAGTAACTGAGTCCCACTCCTCCGGCAGTAGGAGGAGTAGAAACCCAAGGCAGATGATGCAGGTGGCTGTCAGACGCACCACGCTGAAAATCACCTCATGTTTCAAAACATCTACAGCTAGACAGGAAGCAAAGAGGGAGCCAAGAAGCAGGGAGGGCAGGAAAAAGGGCATGAAGGGTGTCAGAGAAAGAAAAACAAATCAAGATTAATTACATTAAGTCAAATTAAACCTCAGGACAATGTGGCTGCAGGAGATGAGTGTAACAAATGCACTTTGTAATTAGCACATCCACTTTATCCCATCTTTGTAATCAGGAGCTTCGGGACAGATAGACATAACCCACTGACCTTCATCCAGCCATTGTGGTTAAAGAAAAGAAGTGGACTGTAGGTATTTAGTGTCGCCTTGGCAACCTGATCCTCCCTCAGCAAGATGTTAGTTGCAGGATGTGTCTTAGCACACTGATGATTGGATTTCCAGGATGGGAGAGGCAGACTTGCTGTGTAATCTGTTTGCAATTGTGGCCCTAGGTGCTGACCTCTCAATACAAGTACCCCAGAATATGTAACATTCAGTCTTCTTTAATGACTGTGTTCACTTACAGCATAACCAAGGGGGTTGAATCTGAATATTGGGGGAATGTTAGAGTAGAAAAAAACAAAAACAAAAAACACCTACCTGCATTTCCCGGCACACTGAGCAGTGTCCCAATGGAGATGAGGATGGGGTAAGTCAGCACCACTCCCACATGGACCAGAATATTAAAAACTGAAGAAAACAAAAAACATTGACAAATGTAAGTAGAATAAATGCACTAAATATTTGTGAAAGAATGGGTCACATTTATGAGCTTATTCAATTCCAGGGTAGGATGCCAACTGTGCAACAAACCCAGTCGGGAAATTTCCTCGCTCTTAAAGTCTACTAAAAGCTGTATCATAAGAAAATAGAAGTGTTTGAGAACTAAAGCTACTTGAAAAACATGTAAACTGATGATGCAGGGTCAGCAGATGCAAAGGGTGGGCCAACTTCATATTGAACCCCTATTAATTAGGAACAGGATGTCACTTAAAATCATATATCAGTCAAGGCAGGTGGGTGAATACTTTTGGCAGTGTAAGTTAAGCATGTCCAGAATCAGATTAAGTGAAAAAAGGCCAGCAGGTTGTATTATTAGATGTGTTACAAACTGGGAATACTGGTGCATCTTTATTGGCCACTCATCTTTTTCCAGCTAGTTTTTCCTGATGTTTAGAGATTTTTGGAACAGCTTACTATGAGGTGCCCCCAGGGACATAAATCAGAATTAACTTGCATATACACATATTAAATTACACTCTTCCATATAATATACTGAAAACCTCACACAAACACTAGTAAAAAGCTCTCACATAAACTAGTGAAAACATTTACCTCTTATATAATCTACTAGAGCTTTCTAGTAGTGTATATGAGAGCGTTCTTATAGTGTATATGAGAGCGTTCTAATAGTGTATATGAGAGCGTTCTAATAGTGTATATGTGAGCTTTCTAGTAGTGTATATGAGAGCTTTCTAATAGTGTATATGAGAGCGTTCTAATAGTGTATATGAGAGCTTTCTAATAGTGCATATGAGAGCGTTCTAATAGTGTATATGAGAGCTTTCTAATAGTGTATATGAGAGCTTTCTAGTAGTGTATATGAGAGCATTCTAGTAGTGTATATGAGAGCGTTCTAATAGTGTATATGAGAGCGTTCTAATAGTGTATATGAGAGCTTTCTAATAGTGTATATGAGAGCGTTCTAATAGTGTATATGAGAGCGTTCTAATAGTGTATATGAGAGCGTTCTAATAGTGTATATGAGAGCTTTCTAATAGTGTATATGAGAGCGTTCTAATAGTGTATATGAGAGCGTTCTAATAGTGTATATGAGAGCTTTCTGATAGAGTATATGAGAGCTTTCTAGTAGTGTATATGAGAGCTTTCTGATAGTGTATATGAGAGCGTTCTAGTAGTGTATATGAGAGCTTTTTAATAGTGTATATGAAAGCTTTCTAGTAGTGTGTATGAAAGGTAAAGCTTTTCACCAGTTTATATGAACAGTTCTCACTACTTTGTATGAGAGCTTTTGAGTAGATTATATAAGAAGTAAATGTTTTCAGTAGTTTATGTGAGAGCTTTTTACTAGTGTTTGTGTGAGGTTTTCAGTATATTATATGGAAGAGTGTAATTTAATATGTGTATATGCAAGTTAATTCTGATTTATGTCCCTGGGGGCACCTCATAGCTTACTATGCTTTGATAAACTAATAACACTGCTTGAACTTTTCACATTGTTTATATCACAAGCAACAGCTTTATTGTTGTGACTTTATGTGATAGATCAAAACAAAGCAGTAGACGACTTCATCGTTCAAAATGTATTTACTCATTCAATTCTGAATGATGTATTTTACATTTGTACCTAGTCTTCTTTACTCCTTTACACACATTGACACAATCAATTGAATAAATGCAGCTATTCTGTGAAGGCCTCAGAGGTGAATTAATTTGTAAACAAAAAAAGCATATAAGAACCAAGGAAAAGCAAAACAAAACAAAACAAAAACAATTTCCCAAGCTTTAAACACTTTGCAGAACACTGTCAATCATGGGAAAGTGAAAAGAGCACAGTACAACTGTGAATAAACTAATAAATGGCCATTTACTGCACTAACAAGTTATGCAAGGAGAATAGTATTCATTTGAGCTAGGGAAAAGCACCATGGTATCTCGGGATGAGCTGCAGTGACAATAAAAAGGTAGAGTCTATTAATAGGAAACTATTAGTGATTCTGGATGTAAGGATGACAAGCATTAAGCAAATACTGAAAAAATTCCTAAGCATAAGTACTGATTAATGTCCACAAAAACCTTGTAAGATATGCAGCAAACGCATGAAAGTACAGTTGGTGTATTTAACAGTTTAGACCAGAATCCAGCATCCAAAACTTTATTTGATGAAAAACAAAATCACATCATGTGGAACACCCTATTCCCTACCATGTAAGATGGTAGTGGTAGTATCCTGCTGACAGGGGTGGGGCTGATTTTTTTTTTTTTCCAGCAAGAACTGTACAAGCTGACCAAGGTCAATGAGAATATTGACCCTGACTTTCAGCAGCTGCAAAGTACTTGAGATAGGAAAAGGCTAATATTATAATATGGCTACAGTACATTAAAAGCCTACTCATTGTAGGCTTTTTTAAGCCAACAGAAAGCATTTTAATTTTTGTTAGTAAGTATGCTGGTGAAGATTCCTAGTCATCCAGGTCATAGTCCCTAATTATCCCCTTTTGGAGGCATAGACTAGTATCAGGCATTGCAGGCTAACCCGGCACCCAAACGACTCGCCATTCCTAACCCATTCTTCTGGTTCAATTTGATTGTTTTTAACTCTACTATTCTATAAAGCTTCAAACTAAATGCTAATTTTAGACATTTTGAATTAAAAAAGCTTCCTGAGTGGGAAGTGAAACATCTTCAAACTTGGAAACAAATCCAGGGGATTGTTTATTAACTTTTTTGCAATGCTTGTAAGCATTTAACATACATTCCATTCTACATCCTTCTTTAATAAACATATGGATAGGGTGTTTAAAAAGACACTGCTCTAATCTAGTGCTGCCAGCAAGAAATCTCTAATTAGGTTTATACATTTATAAGTTGGGTTTGATTTCTTTCTCGCAAACATGTCAAGAAACATATGGAACCACACCAGCAGTAAACTTGCATGAAAGTTAAAGAATTCTGCCATAAAAGTATATTCAAAGTATATTCATGCATTAGAAGGGCTTCATCAAAGTCCAGTCCTAAGTCATACTGAGAACCCGTTGCAAGATTTGAAATTGATGCAGCTACATTTTCTTCTATCCTGGCTGATGGCATGTGAGACATTTTGTTAAAAAAAAAAAAGAAAAGAAAAGGTGAAAACTTCAGCAGTATAATTTTTCTGCAAACTCTGCAAACTAGTGTTTTTTTTATCTGTTCTCTTGGTAAAGGCACTCTTTACCAAGAAAAGTACAGTATTTTCTTTCTCACCCAGCCACAGTCCTGCTAGTCCAAACAGGTAACCCCAGGGTAGCGAGGAAAGGGAACCCAGATGCTCCACTTTGGTAAAGTAGAGGATGAGGGGAACACAGGAGATAAAAATAAGGTTGAAGAAGCCCATTGTTGAAAAAAAATGCGCAACTTCTCCAAGGTTGGCACTGCCGAGGAACATCTTGAAAAGAACCTTGAAGATGAGGGAATTATTTGAAATCCAAAGCACATTAGGAGTAACGACTGTTTTGTTAAAACTGCTTTAGAACCATCAGTCTGACCTTATAAAGAGCTGAAGTCGAGGCAGAGCCCACGGCCAGAGCCACACCCACAAAGGAATCCCCATGAAATCCATCTGCATAAGCCATCATGACAATACCTGTGATGGCCATTATGGCTGCAACTATCTGTTGATAGAGAAAAAGAGGCATCAGAGCCAAACAAACACACAGATGCATAAACTGACTAAATTTAACACAAACCCGAACACCCATGAAACGGTCCTTTAGGACGATCCATGAGAGGAGAAAGACAAAGGCTTTGTGGCAGCAGAAGAGTGCAGAGACATCAGTGGCTGTTAGTTTCTTCAAGGCTAAGAGGTACAGGTAGTTGGTCAGCGTCCATAGGATGGAGAAGGGAGCTGTCCTTTTAACAAAAAGCTTGAGAGTCATACCATCCTCCCCAAAGAGTTTGCTGCACTCCCTGTAGAAACAGGAAGTTGGAAATTTAGTCAGTTTGTTTTACCAATTCTACCCAAAAACAGGCTAAATAGAACCTACTCTGCTCTTTTAGAGATTTAGTGATATTAAGATGGCAGTTAAACCATCCTAATCATGATGTATTTAGTTACTTAGAAAATAAACCTTTCAAGAATTATGTGCTTGTCCAATGCAAATCTTGAAATGTGCTAGTGTTCTATAGTTGTGGAAGCAATAATATGTTCTCCAACCATACAACATCAACATTCATTGTTTAAGCCTGGTGCAAAAAAAACATGTCTGAGGTTTGACTATTTTAGCTCATATGTCCAAAGGAAAACTATCCTCAAACAAATATGTTAAGATCAGGCTTGGTTCACCCAATTTAGAAAGAGATGTTTGGTTTAACCTCAGTTTCACATTGTTAAGAAAGACATTAACGCTGTTCTTTCTGTGTCCAACTAATAGAAAGTTGCTTTCAAGAGAATTAGAAGTTAAGTCTTTTTTGGTCTGAAATTTAGCAGGGGATTTCAACCCCTTGTAAAACCCTGTTACTTTGACCAACAACACATATTAATTTGTAAATCTTGATCAAATCAGAAATGTCCATCCGAACAAAGATTTGTTGAAAAGACATTGTAAAGACGACATGATTTTTGCCCAAATAACGTCTACATTTGGTTGAAAATTGAAAGGTGAAAAGCCGTAATTTTAGGATTGTTGAAAAGATGTTGCAAACCCAGTTTTCAATGTCTTTTCAATGACTATTATTGGAAAATCAGACCGACAGAACACAACTATTTTCTACAATGATTTTTCGACTAAATCAAGACTATGAAGGACCGACCAGATTTAGCCTAAAAACCAACATTTAAATGGCGTCTGGTGTTTGGGGGGTTGGCCCTAATATTTATTTTTTAAGGAGGTTTACCTAAATTTCTGAATGGGAGTCTGCTTCTCGCCGGCAGTAAAGAAATGTCCAGAGTAGTAGATGGGGAAGAAGAGGATGTTCCAGTTACTGCTGAACCAGGAGATGAAGAAGGGACAGGAAAATGACTGGAAGGTCAGCTTCACCACCTGAGTGGTACCCACCCAGGAGGAGGACACGCAGAGAAGCATCAAAAGACCGCCGAGCACCTTCAGAACTGTGTTGGCACATGTTTGGTAGGACCGAATCTCTATACTTGTCTCACTGCCTGGGGTTTCTGGACGAGACTCGGAACCATCCTCTCCTAGGGAGAAATAGGATGAGAAGAAAGCTCTTAATAAAAAGCATAGTAATGTCTGCATCATATTCTGACTTGAGTATGATTCTCTGGCTTGTGTCCCATCACACAAGCATGTATTGATCAGTTACCCTCACAGATCATTACCTCAGTCTGCATTTCCTGCTGAACAGGCACTAATGCCTAATAAAAGAATGTGTTTAAAATGGATTGGGTTGGCATGGTGGCTGTTCATTTCATAAATATAGCTTTGCCGTCTTGTGATGCACTATGTGTTTGCTAGCCTTTGTGGTCAAGTGTGCACAGTCACCCAATGGCAATTAAATAAATGTAAATCTAACCACATGCCATTCCAAAAGAAAGTCACAACAACGTTGGAGCTGAACCTGGAGAAGACCAGCTGTGTTTGTACTGATAGACAGAGGGTCTGGCTGGTGTAGCGATGGGCAGATAATACTTTAATCTTCCAACGGTAATGCAGATTTGGCCTTGTGCCCTAATGGACTGCGCAAATAAATGGCTCCTGGACTGTGCTATAACACTTGAGGTGGTGTGTATTTTGCATTTACTGAGAATGCTTAAATCTTTTTTTCCCCCCTTTTTGTCTCTCTAAGGTGTGATCATTTTACACCAGGGTAGGGATAAAAAACAACATGTGCTGGGGGCTGTTTTCTTTCTGCAAACTCAGCACATGAAACTCTGCTGTTTTCTACGATGACTAAAGACACCAAAGTCTCTCATGCTTCCTAATTAGTGTATCGGTTATCCTTTTGTTTGTACAGTAACCTGAAATGAGGACGCAACAGCAGTTTAAGTAACTGAGCCACAGCTAATCTTAGTGGTGTGTACTGTCAAAGTTTTGAGAACAAGATGATAAAAGTAAAAAGAAATGGTAGAATTTTTCTAATGTCATGAGAACCAAATGAAAATTATTGAAGAGATAGATATAAATGCATATAAAATATATTTTTGTTGGGGTAAATAAACATTAAAAACCTATAAACATCAAACAGTGATGCAGTTAAAAGGCTACTAAGCAAAGCTTAGAATGTACAAGCAGCGCCTCTAAAGCAGAAACCTTCTCACACTTTTTCTATTCAGGTTTTCATTGTATGTTATTTATATATTAGAAGATCATCCAACATAAAGTGGCTTTTACAGATGAACAACTGTCCATAAAATGAGGTGTGCATTCTTTTTTAGCTCCAAGAGACAATGCTGTATAAAACCTCCTAAAACTGAAATTACAGGTCAGTATTTTAGGGTATCAAGCTTTCAGCATCTAGGGAAAAAACAATAATACAGAAATTAAAGTAAGATTAAGAGAAACTCTGAACATAAATTCTCAATTTTTGACACTGATACTCAATTAGATTAAAGTCAGAACTTAGCCTGAACCAATCTTACACCAAAATAATCTTGGATCTGAACCATTACTTTTTAGATCTGGGTGTACGGTTAGGCTGGAATTCTAAAGCCAAGTCTCAGGTCTTCTGTAGCCCTTTAATAGTTGTCCTTGAAAATCATGCTGTATTTAGCTCTATCCATTTTCTCATCAGCTCTTCTATCCTCTTCTACCCTTTACATGAAGGCCAGGAGGTGTACTTTTGGTCTCATCCAATAGAGCACTGTCTTCCATTTTTTTTGCCATGTTTCCTACAAGGCTTTTTGTAAACTAGACCTCACTCTTCCTTTAGGTGAGATAGAGGGAGAGGTTTTTCAAGAAAAGTTACTATTAAAACTAGAGATTTAATAGGTAGAATCATAGAAATGAAACATAAAAAAAATATGCATCTAGTTGTTAAAACCATAATATGTGCAAAGTTGCATGAGTTTAGAAGCCTACATTGTTAGTGATTGTATATCTCGCTGCGTTGCACAGGGAACAGTTGTCATATCAAAAGATTTCTTTCCACTTAAGCTATGGATCTCTGGACTTTCAGACTCACCATGGACAATTTAGAACTTTGATTATTCTCACATTGGCTAACATGTCAGTTTAGGTGCCTCACTTTGTTTGCATCCCTCTTTAATTTCCCCACAACCTTCTCCCTGACCTTTCTGCATTGCTCCGTGGTCTTCATACAGGTGTTTTAAGACACAATTACACACCAAATTGACTCTTCAGGGGAGCAATTTAATGTAATGGATTTTGCTTAGGGTTGTAAGCAAAATGTCTTAAAAAGTCTGGACAAACTATGTAAATCTATAGCTTTTCTTTGATCAGGATGGATCCACACTAAACTGTGAAAAGCATACCCAACATGGAGTATATCTGCAAGATCATCCAAAGATTTGGTCTACTTATATTCCGTTAAAGCAAAAACTCTTTCAGAACCTTTTGAGCAAAAGGCCCAAAAGGTTGATAGCTAGGAAAAATGAGAATTATTATCTGTGCAAAACTGAAGATGTTTGAATCTTTTTATTCCATCCAGCAAATGAGCAGAGTTGTCTAAAAAAATACTAGTTCTTCTTTCCATCTTGAAAAGCTATTACAACAAGCACTATCATGAGTCTGATCGTATGCACCAGAAGAGCAGCATGAACAAACTGAAACAATTCCTTTCCTGCATGTTAACCTGAATAAAATGACATTAAAAAGAGAACAAAATTTAAAAAACAAAGCAGTTTGGATATGAACTGAAGATAGCAGAGAGCTGTGTTTCATATTACAGACATATGTTTACTTCCCTGTGTTGAGCGTGTGTTTCTAAGGAAAGACGATCATAATTTGGAGTTGTCAAGATTTTTATCCCATAAAGAAATTGCAGCAGAGGATCATTCACTTCCAGCTCCTACTTGGACAGCTTATCAAATCTGTGTGACGCAGTGTGGTGCGGGAGCCTCAGATTCCAATCCATTCTGCGTCTTATCCTCACCACTATTCACTGCATGCCAGCAGCACTGATTGATGGAGCCCCACTGAATTCAATAAGAAGCTCCCAGTAATAGCTGCAGCGTTAGTGAGCTTGACTCTGGCCCATACTAACTAAGTCTTTATCCTAATTAGGCTGGAAGCTGTGCCATGGATCTGCCAAAATGGGTAAAAAGTTGATTAGATTCAACATTATGTCATTTGTGGTATGAGTTGTGAAAATGGAAGCTGTCTTAGGGTAAAAATGCGTTTTTTTAACTAGATGTGAGTTGGATATTTTAGCAAGATTAAAATGTGTGATAAACTGCTAAAAAATTTAAAACTTGAAACAACATAATTTTGTTTTTATGCTTTGGGTCATTTTACTCTGATTTTAGACTTTCAAACAAAGATAAGCTCTGAAGTTTCAGGGTTTTAGAGTTCCAGTAAAATCGAGGCATCACTGACCTAAGCTGCATTTTTTTGTTCTTCTATTTATGTTTTTAAATACTAAAGTATTATTTCGGGAGCCAAACAAACTTTTAATGTTGTTTTGCCGGAACCCTGCGTCATGCCGAGTCTGAATGATGTTCAGGGTCTTTTTAGTTGGTTCAGTTTACCTTCAGAGTTGGGGCAGGTTAGGACCTGAGTGCTGTATGAGCTGAGAGGAGCCACTCGTGCCGAGTGCTTCTTCATTCTCCACTGGGGGCACCACACACTGTCCTCCTGTGGAAGGTGTGTGTTGGTGTGTGAAAGGGGGTACAGAAGCCAAACGCTCAGCAGCTCCCCTGGTACATCCTCAGAATGCTGACTCCCCCGATTCGCCTCCACACACTAAAAAAGCCCCCTTCCTGTTATTAGATCAGCTCTTCCTCTTTCGTCCAGACTTTGTAAAACTCTTCAGCTTCACTCTTCCTGATGCTGTGCTTCTGTCCGGGTGGTTTCACAGCTCAGTGAGAGTGCAGGGGAGATTCTACAGTTGTTCTCTTATGTTAAGCTCCAGCATTGCTAACGTCTCTAAGGGAGAATGCACTTCAAGTCTGTGTGGCAAGGCACGATCACTCATTTCATCTCTTTCTGTCCTCCCCCTCTTTCCTATCTCTCTATGTCTCACGTTTCTCCTCCTCTTGTTTTTGCTTCAACAAATCAGCAGCTTTGTTTGGAAGGTAACCAAGCAGCCTGCTGGCTTATTATGCTGCGTTAGCTGTGCCCCCATCCTTTTTGCTCTGCTCTGTCCTCCTCCACCCTCCCACCTCTCCACCTGACCAGGCTATCCTGCGTCTTATGCACTCTTGTCCTCTGTCTCCCTCCTCTTTCTCGGCTCATCTCGTGCTCTTGACTGCTCATTGAGAGTCATTTTTTTTTTTTTTTCTGAGCTTTTTCTCTTTGCTTCTACCACCCTAATCAGCTGAGCCACAAGATAAAAAGAAATAACTGTATTTATTTTAATACATGATACTTTAATATAGGAGGTTGGGATTCAGTCATTTTAATACCTTGCATTCTGAGAAAACAAAAAAATTTGAAGTTCTGAATAGTGCTAAAAATGTCACTAGCTCTGCTTGGAAAAGTACATTTCAAATAACTTGTTGCAGTGATAATTTTTTCAGTAAAGTAATAAAAAATATTTAAAAACATTAGAGTGAACCACTTTGTACATAACTGAACTAAAGAACACTGAGGAAAGAAGGTACAGGTTAAGAGAAAAAAAGTAGCAAATATTTTTATACTGTATAAATGTAACACTTTGGAAGATTATAAAAAGTGGGTTTTGTTGTTTCAGATGAAAAAACAAGTTTATTTATGTATTTATTTATTTATATCTGAAGAAATTGGTCTGGGATTTTATCTGAATGTTATAAAAAAAAACTAAAACTTTGTTTTCTGTAACTTTAAAACAAACTTATGTCAAAAAGCATTTTTTTTACTGTGGTACCTAACACTATCTGATCTATATGTATAGCTTTCAAGAAATACAGATAAGTTATCAATCGAAGTATAGCATAAAGTATAAAAAATTAAAATCTGCCGTTAATAAAATTCCAGGCATGGATTCTGTTGCTTTCCATCTAGTTTTTGTAAATTTGAATGATTTTTTTTTTTTATTCAATCAAACTATTGTAATGACTCCTAGAATAAAGAAGTTATAGAGTAAAAAGTGAACAAAAGTTTGTTTTGTTTTGTTTTGTTTTACACATTTTTCTAAAGAATTAGAATCTAATTAATTTGCAATCATGTAAAAATGCATCAAACAAAACAAAGTATTATCAGACACATTGTTATAGAGCCTATTTACTGCATGCAGTCATGTTCAATGAATGATAATATAATTAAATTGTTCATTTATTTCAGGAACATACTTCACTAAGTCAAAAACATTATGAAGATTAATCACAGCTTTCAGCCAATGAAAAAGTACCATTTTAGATAAAGATATTACATTAGACTAATAAAAATATATTCTAACACAGAAGAGCTGACAAGCAATCCTCATCAGAAAGTATTCTGTAACTTATTGAATATGACCATATATACTGTAGGTAGTTACATGTATTTCATTCTAGCATTATGTTGAACACTTTGGAAAAGGTGTTACTTTATATCCATTTGCAGAAAAGTCTGATAGTGAATGTTTCCTGTAAACAGAGAATACCTACATTAAATATTTACCTTCTGATGCTGTTACTGTAAAGGAATTCAATATCTTTTTTCCATCACACTTGCAGGAGGGAAACCCTCCTATCAGAAGCTATATGGTTTTAAGAGTCAGCCCGGGATGTAAATGCAAGTTTCCATTTCAAGGAAAGCCCTCTGGTCATTCAATCTTTCTATGTGGTTTACCTGCATGAAGGTTTAATGGACTGAAGTAACTCAGCCTCCATTTAACCCGCTCATGCCAGATATGTACAGTAAGTAAGCAAATCCTTATAATTTATATAAGTAAAAAATAATAATAATGCTGTAAGCACAAACTGAGGGATATTTTTCTGTATGTTTCTGTGCCTCATCGTTGATAGTTCTGTTGAGCTATAAAGAGCATCAAAGATCAGAACAGTTCCTGCTGCTGTTCGGTAGGTCACATACTGAAATATCATGATCATTTTTGTGTAAATTGTGTAGCTCCAACACTGATTCTGAAAAAAAGTATTCAGAATCAGAATTACTTTATTAACCCCTTGTGGGAAATTCTTTCCATGCAGTTAACCCGATTATAAATAAAAATAAGTATCTATGATTAAAATAAGAACAAGAATAAAACAAGATATGGATCACAGTATATACAATCAACAGTATTTACAATTTACAATACTGCTTAGTAACAAATTACAATTATTACACATGACCATGTTGTTGCTCATGGTGAAGTTATGAAATAAAGAATTCGTTATGAAATTAGATTTTAGAGAGATGAATTATACAGTTTGACTTCCTGTGGCACTCTGTGGTGCAGCATTATGAAATGAGTCTCTGACTGAAGGTGCTTCTGTGGGTGACCTGCACATCATAAAGATGATGTGCAGAATTGACACGCTTTGAATTTTTCTGCATATTATGTTAGAAGGCTACTGTAAACGCATTATACAAGATGTTTTGTGTCACCATCGAAAAGTCAGCCCTAATTTTAAAGTGGGAGGAAATATGATGTCCATACTGTGAGTTCCTTATGTTTTCAAAATGTGCAGTTCAATTCAGATCTCTGGAGTAAAGGTTTTTAAGCACCATGTTTGCAGCATGAAAAAACTATGTTTGATCTAATTTGTATTAATTATCAAGTACTGACAGACAGTTTAACATGTCTATGCTTTGATCAAAACCCTTTCATTCTACATTATATTTTGGACCCCAGGAAGGGGACTCCTGCTGCTCAAACAAGTTTTCCCTCATTTACCAACATCTTTCTTCCAGAGCACTCACTCCAGCTTTCCTGCCGATGGTAAAGTAAAGAACCCCAGGCAAGATGCCTCTACCATCATGCCTTATAATAATAAAAGTTTTGCAGATGGAGCAAGTTAGCTGCTATTTGACTAGATGATTCCCATATATCTTTGTTTTATTCCATGCATTGTAGTGAACTTCAAATGGCACTTTCCATGTTTTTCCTCTCAACAATTTTAATCTTATAATGCTTCTATAGAAACACATTTGTAAAAAAAAATAGTAAAGCTAATATTAATCATCTCGACAGTTTCTCACCCCTGAGTTTACCACCTCTAAGTTTACTGTGACCTCATGCCTGTTTCTCTGAATTATGCCTTCCTTGCTTTGCCTGCTAGTTAAGCTTAATGACCATGTCTAGGGAGGCTTATAGTTGGGTTGTAATCTTCCTATCCTTGGGATGTAGTGTAAACAGTGCTCTGTGAGATGTTTAAAACAGAACATTGTTTTGTTTACTATAACCCTGCTTTAAGCTTCCCTACAACAGTTATATTTAAACAAGGTGGAAGGTAAAACTGTACTACATCTTTTTAGAATTCAAACGTGTAAAAAAAAATTAAATAAAAAGAAATGTTTAAACTATACACTTTGTGTATTTTACAAAATATTCCAAAAAAATAATTTAAGGCCTGTGGTTTTATTCTGACAATGTTTAAATAGGTTCTGGTACTATAAATACTTTGGTGATGCACAGTTTGTAAGACCTTTTTTCTTTAGTCAGTTGATACAAAATCAATCAAATGTTTCTGTTTTGGGAAAAGAGTCAAGGATATACTGGAGGTATTGATCCGGCAAGTAGAGTTAAATTTAAAAATAGCTCTGCTGATGAATGAAGCGACAGACCAGACAGTCAGGATGCAGAGAAACAAGCCAGTCAGCAGATCCCTGGATACTAATCACTATTAGATTAAGAGAAATACCTGGAGTTAAGTCACCGCAGGAGGCCAGGTTACAATTTCAAAAAATATATCAGGGCATTCAGTTCTTGGAGTTGATTGATGTTTATACTTATTTCGACCTATTGTGCAGCCCTGCTCACAACCATTTGGTTCCATTACATCTCTGACAGGCTCAATTTAAGCATGATTTGTTTCCTCCAATAACGTTTGTTTAAAGTTCCCTTAAAAAAATCCCACATTTTTTGTAGCCATAAGCAAGCTTCTGCAAATGATCAGGCAGAATAATCAAATAGTATTCTAATCAAAATTGAAGGAAATCATAGAAGTTGGTTAGTAATTGCCATAGATCATCAGGAAACATTTTCAATGGGAGGAAACCATTTCTGAAGCTCAATGTTCAGCTGGTTTGTCCTTTAAGATTTTTTTCAGGGTCTGTAATTTAGGTTTGGTTTTGATTCGGTTAATGACGCCAAATCCAATGAATGACTTATGCTGTTTGGGGGTTTACCATTCAGTTTATTCATATTCCTATATCTATTTATTCTTATTATTTTTGGATGGTTTTATCTTTAGTCTTTCTTTTCATAATTTCTACAATTTCGGATTAGTTCTCTTAGTTTCTTCCTTGTATTTTTCCCATTTTTTAAATTTATTCCTAAGCTTTACGTTGTGTTCAATAGCTGATTCAATGCACTTGTGTTTCTTGGTTTATTTGTCTATTTTTCACACCAGTCTTGATCCCTATTTGAGGTGTTAGTCAGTGGCCAGTATTCATCGGCTCCTCATTTTATCCTGTGCCTCTTTGTCATTTGCCTCAGAAAATCGTAAAATGCTCATTATACTCCTGGTCTGCATTTCAGTCCAGATCCACAGCTCATAACAGATCTACTATGGTTTAGCCCTATGTAGAGAAGACGAAAAAGATCACTGTCAATTTCAGGAAGAACCGGCCTAACCACGCTCCACCGCTCATCAACAGCTCAGCTGTAGAGTTGGTCAACAGCACCAAATTGAGGGTGCACATCACAGACAACTTCACTAGGACGGTAAACACCACCTCACTAGTCAAAAGGGCACAAAAGCACTTGTACTTCCTGCAGAGGATGAGTAGAGCCCACCTGCCCCCACCAATCCTCACGACCTTCTACAGAAGCACCACAGAGAGCATTCTGACCAGCTGTCTCACTGTGTGGTGTGGAGGCTGCAGCGCCTCAGACTGGAAGAAAGTGAGAAGAGTGGTGAGAAAAGCAGAGATGATCATCGGGACTCCTTTTCCCTCCATAAAAGACATTTCATCCCAGTGCTATGTGTCGTGAGCCTGTAACATCATCAATGAC